CAGCAGGAAAACTGAAGTCTGAACAATGAGTGGCCCCGCTGGCCTGCACGGAGGGCTGCGGTTATATCCAGAGTTGACTTGCAAAATCCAACTCTCCCAAATGATCACTCCCATCTCCTAGTCAGCTTTTTTTCCTGAGATTATACTGTAGAGATTTGTTACAGAAATATTTAGGTTGGTTTGAATGAAGCATGAACAGATGTCTCAGCTCCAGCTCCTTCCTTCTTTTTTAATTTCTTTTATTTTATCCTCTTTTGGATGAGGTAAAAGGTAATGTTACTTCTTGGCATGGCAGAAGCCCTCGTCCCAGTGAAATCTTTGCTGTAACAGTTCACGTTCTTCATTTTTGGTGTTTCCTGCTCAGTAAATGGTGCTTAATTAGTAAATGGCCTGGGTGCAGATTTGCAGTAATGTGCGGTCCTGGTGCTTGCTTGGTTGCAGCTGGGAGCTGGCAGCCAGCAAACCCTGCAGCGAGAGGGCCCCCAGCCCAGCTTGCAGTCACTGCGGTGCTGCGGCCCCAGGACGTGGCCAAGGAGAAGTCCAGCTGGGGAAAGAGGGAAATGAAATAAAAATGATGATACTGTCCTAAAAACTGCCTTCGAGAGGGGAGCGGGGCGACCCTCCAGCTGCTGATGGGGATGTTAGGGTCTCGGGCCACAGAGGGAGGGAGAGCAGCAGGTCCAGAGGACGGAGCTCATGCACAAATTCTTGCAGTTTTTTTACAGGTCTGTACAGATATTTTCTTCCATGAAGTAATGGGATGAAACAGATAAAATAAGGCTGTTTGTGGAAATGAGCATGGGCTTCATCCTTGAGGGTCCTGATAAGTTTTCTTTTCACGTCACAGCGCAAGCTCGAGATGCCCACACACGCAGCAAAGAACATGGTGAGGGTATCATTACGTAGGGCTGGACAACAAGGGCTTGGAGTGAGTGACTTCTGTTCTCCTTAGAGATCTTCCCCGATTCTGGGGCTAGCACTTGGCAAGGCGATTTAAAATAAAAATAAGAATTCTTGACATTTATCTGGACCAAAACACACACGGGAGCGGGCAGTTATTTGCAAAGCACCGATGCAGGCTCTAATGCAGCTGTGCACACTGGCCCCTCGGATGAGCCACAGGCGTTCCCATGCCTCATCCCTATCCGGGGACCTCTCTCCCCACTGTCACCCCCAAGTTTCCCATATGGATCTGACTTGCTCTGTGCTGGCTGGTGTTTGTCCCAGCTGTGTAAGTAGTATCCCATGGTGGAGGTCAAGGTCCTGGCTGCTCCCCTTGTGTGCTGGGGAGTGGTGCTGAGCAGCTCTGGTGTTTGCCAGGTGCAGGAGCAGGACCGTGGGCAGCCGTCAGTGCTCAGAAGCAGGGTACCTCGCCGGCAGGGCTGCTCTGCTGGCACACAGCCCTTCCAGGAGTTTCCTCTGTAAATATTTGTACGTTCGGATATCCAAGTTTACGAGATCATTTACAGGAGGTTCCTTTCTGGCAGAGGTTTCCAAACACACGGCCCCAGGCCAGCAGCCGGCGAGGTGCGAGCGTGCTGGGGCACAGCGGGTGCCATGTGCAGGAGTGCTGCCCGTGCTTGCTGCCTGCACTTGCTGCCTGTGTGCATCATGCGGCTGTGGGCACTGGTGGCCGGAGGGAAAACACTCACTCCAAGGTGATGGGCTCACTTTGCCGGGGGAAAAAAGGCTGGGCTGTGCGGCAGCATCCGTGCCGTGAGCCGGTGGGTTTGAGGCTGGGATGCAGGTGCTATGAGGTGTCACCTTGTTGCTGGCTCTGCAAACCCATGCTGAGCTCCCCAAGGCACATGGGTGTCTCTGCATCCCCCTTCTGACTCGAGCAAAATCTCAGCACTGGCAAAACATGGCAGAGACGCCCGTTGAGCTCGTGCGGTCTCTCCAGCTAGTGGCTTGTGGGTCCTGTGAGCCTGGTCCCATCTTCTGCAGATCCTTCGGGTCAGTGTCCTCCTCTGCCTCTTGCAGGGGTTTGAGAAGGGTTACGTGCCTGGTTTATTCCAGGCTGGAGGCTGCCTGCCCTGCACTGTGTTTATCCAGCCCTGGTGAGCACATCCTCACCCGTCCCCCAGCGCTGCCGTGTGCTGTGCGAGTGGTGGGAAATGGCGTTTAGAATTAAAACTCCGCTATAAACTGCCCTTCATTAAAGCAACAATAACAAGAAGAAAGGTTAAGTTTGGGGAGAAAGCCACATGTATGCTTGTGGTTTAAAGAAAATAAAAGTGCTTTTCTTAGAATTTGTAAGGCAGACTTGGCTCCTCCCAGCCCTTCTTTCTAACCAGATAGGAGCCTGGCAGGTCCCAGTTATATTCCAGTAAATCTTCAGGATACGGTGTACCCAGAGGTTTCTGCCGAGAACTGAGAGCTCCGGCACACGGCGGTGAGGAAGAGCCCGGCCCCGCGGCCTGCAGAGTCCTGCAGGGAGCTTTGCTGCACTGCCGGTCCAGCTCTCCTCGAGCATCAGTTTAAAAAATCCTTGCAAGCATTTTGGAATTGCAAGAGCTCTAAAAGCTTAAAACTTCCCAACCTATTCCTTGGATTTTCCGTCTTTGTCCTTACACAGCCGTTTTTTCTCTTTTGTCTGAGTGGTTTGTCCGGGGGTTTGCTCTGCGCAGCCCCACTGGTCACTGCTGACGGCCTGGCCGGGCTCAGCAGGGAGAGCTGCCAAAGAAAAGGGGCTTCTTGGTGTTGGGGCCAGGTATTCAGCTCTCATCTAACAACTTTGTGTGGCTTGATCAAAGCAAGAGAGCCTCAGCACTGCAGCTTGGCTTGGTCGTGTGAGCTGCTGGCACAGAAAGAGCTCTTGATGCCTTCAGTGACATGGACAACTACTGAAAAGGACAAATGTGCACCTTTCCTTGATGTACAGGATAGTATTATTGATTTTTTATATTATGGTTTGCCCTATGCCAGATAGTCTGCTGACTTTGTAATAGTAGCATTTACAAAAATGGCACTTTTTGGCAAGCAAGTCCTGCCAGCTTCCTAGGATGAGCTTTGATGCCAATTATGAAGAAGGAATGTGCTCCTAGAAAGGCAGTGGGATGTGCAAATGGTAAGACAAGTGTTGGTATCTGTGTGGGCAGTTCATCCCAGCATCAGGTCCCCAATGTCCCATGGGCTGGGGCCGCCGGCATCACTGACTGCAGGGAATGGGGACAGGCAAGAGGAGGCTCTGGCCACAGATGGCCTGTTAAATCTTTGTGACACACAGATGCATGTAAAATGTCTTGAAACTGCTTCAGCATAGAATAAGCCATACTTGCTTTCAGAAAAAAAAAGGAATAGTAACGTGAGTGCATTTCTGAAGCCATAAGTCACAAAATAACTCTCTCTCACCTGATTCTTGCCTCTGCTGGGCTTTTGCATCTTGCAGGAATTTAATTTGTTGCATAAGGGGAGAGGGAAGTTCCCCAAGGGCAAGGGGACACTGTGTGCAGAACACACAGATAAAATCCGTTCTGCACGCAGAGGAATCTGGGCCCGACCTCCCGCTCCGGCTCACGACTTGATGTGCGAAGAGGCACAGCTGCAGTGCGCTGCTGGGAAAGGTTGCATTTGCACAGCCCACTGTTGTGCTGAATCTTCTAACCCAGAGTAAATGCAAAGATACCATAGAATTATATGTGGTGGCTGCGCGCATGTAGGATGTGAGGCTGCTCCTAAAGCTTTTTTTCCAGCTGCCAGCTTGCTGAGTAAGCCAGCCGTGCTGCAATTAGCGCTTTCGTCCTGTATGGTCTGCCTGCGATTATTTTGGAAACCGGTTTCAGATTTAATACTTCTGCAGCTGTGAAACAGCATACATACCGTGCCTCCCTGGGCTCTGTGTACAGGCTACAGGTGTGTTTGGTGCGTGTGCTGACTCCTGGAAGGTGTGTTGCCACCAGGAGAGAAGAGAGCCTGGTAAAGAGCCCTTCTTTTCCAGCTCCCCCCTTCCTGGCTGATAAAGGCTGATAAAACCATAGGAGCAAGGAGGAATGCCAAGAAGGCCCGTCGGGTTTGCTTACTGTGCTGGTCGCTTCGGTCCCTGGTCCCATCCACTTTGCCGTCTGGGAGGATCCGTAGGAAGTGGCCCCCATTGCTGCAGTACAGGAGTTTGGGTTTCTTGTAGTTCCCCAGGGGAAGGTTGAACTTTTCGGTCAGGGCGGTGAAGGTGGTGATTTCCCCTTCGGCCATCTCTCAGCCTCTCCTGGTGGCCGGGCTGCAAAAGATGCGGCGGCGTATGGCAGGGGTGGTGGCACCGAGTGCTTGGCACACGCTGCTGCTGCTGCCAGGCTTTTAAAGGGAGGGGAGGGAGCCCGGTGGTCCCCGGCCGGTACCGGGGCTGGCTGCCGGGCAGGTGATTCACACCGCAGATGATGGCTCCGGCAGTGACACAGCCCGAAAGGTGATGCTCCTCCAGCGTGGGAGGTGGGGAGGGGGTTGTCTCCTCACTGGGTGAAGCTGGGCGGTAGGGACTCTGTCCTTTTAATTTTATCATAGTAAATTCTGTTTTCTTTCTGCTTTCTATTGACGTATGTACTAAAATTATACACGCAAAAAAAAAAGTTTGAAAAACAGCCGGCGTCTGATTGAAACCCACAAGAGGCAGGAAGGGAGCCCAGGTTAATAACTCTCTCCACTATTATAACTTTCAAACAGGATTATGACTAGGTATTGCAACACATACTGCATGCCAGATAGCAAATATTACTTCATATCTTGGCACTCTGCATCTCACCTGGCCAAGGCACACACATGCTAAAGATCAGAACAAACGTTAGATGTTGTAGGAGATGAGCAGGGTGGCAGGAGGCTGTCACGGCTTGGGCAGCAAGCAGGAGATTTACCCATACACATCAATAGCATAGGGAGAAAAGGAGCTTTGAGTCTAGATTATGCCATGTTGGTGCACCCTTGCATCTCAATAAAAGAAGTGGTTAAAAGGGAAAGGCAAAGCTCTGGCTGATGCCGAAGGGTGTAACTGGGCATGGGCACCACCACCTGCTCAGGAGCAACAAGCACCATCTCATGAGAGTGCTCCGTCCTGCAGGGCTCCCGTGCTCTCCTGGGGGACTGGGGACACGCATGGAGATCGTATTGAAACCTCATTTTGCAAGATACTATGTGGTCATGATCCATGTTTAAGCAGACGCCATGCCAAAACCTGAAGGAATCATCAGACTGCTAAGAGAAAGATGCTGTGAATGTCGGAGGGTGAGAACTGCCATTGCAGCCGTGGCCGTGGGATCAGGAGGTGCCGTGGGTGGGGACCAGAGTCCCACACGTAACCCAGGTATGTTCAAATTTATCTGAATATTTCTGGCCTAGAAACTGCATTTAAAATCTTCCACGAATATGCTGTCCTTCATATACAAAGCTCTGTAGTGCTCATAGAGAAGTGGATTTATGAACAGAAAAAGACAGGGCACAGTATAAATCTAGATACAGGAAATGACTTTAAATATAATGTATTCCCACAGCTATATTATGGGAAGTATTATATAGTCACTGTTTATATATATTTATATATTTATAGATTGTAAAAATGTCTATTTAGTACTGAGTTGTGCTACTGGTACATTAGGATGGAGCCAGTATCATACTGTGTGGGTTTGCTGTGGTACTTCAAGAGTGACCTGGGAGATATTAAGGACTGCAACTCTTTGCAATACAAACACACACACACATATATACATGTAATCTCTAAACATTTGGATGTAAACTCTTCAGTATGTAAAATTGCAAATGCAGCTGCAAGGAAGGGAAACTATTCCTTCAAGTGGATCCCAAAAGCCTGCAGAAGATAAAAATGTATGAAGGTTGGATTGCTAAAAGCTGAAACCTTGGAAATAGACTTCATTGCTATTGCTGAAAACACACCCAACCATTTCAAGCAGCTTTGGTTAGGACATAGACTTAATCCTTTATCTCAGACATGTCCCCTTGGGGTCTCCATCAGAACAGAGAGATTTCCTAGGAGAGGAAAACACAACCATAAAGGAAAAAGTATTCCCTGTCGGTTCACAACAGCTTCTCTTTCCTCCCAACTATCAGCCCGTGTTTTGCTGCAGATGGAGGTATTAAATCACTAACACAACAGCTGAACATGGAGTCAAAATGCAGGGACATACTATTTTAACTTTTCCCCACTGCCCTTTCTCCCGAACCACTTTGATCTTGCTTGGTAAGTCACGTTTTCTGGACCAACGCCTACCAAGTGTTATTTTATCAGCCCAGCACTTCCTCAGCTATTTGCTGTTTTGCACTGGAGGCTGTTTTGGTTCGTCTCTAGGTTTGAAAACCATCTCCAGGCCAGTTTATCCCAGTATTGTGCATCACCCCAAAGCTTGCTTTTGCTCTGGAGCTATTTGCAAAGCCCCAAATATCAACCTTTTCCCAAGAAGTCCAACCAAGCTTTACAACTGTCTCTGTTGATATCCTTGCTTCTGAACTGCACAAAAGCCATGTCCGTCTTAGCGCTGGTGCGTTCAGACTTTGTGTGTTTGGAAGTGGCAAAGCCACCCCCATTCGGCACAGACCGGGTTTTTGGGAAGTGCTTTCTGCAGGTGATAACACGGGCTAGCCCCAGTGTCCTGTGATGAGGTGGTGAAGCAACCCACAAGAGCTCAGGAGAAGCTTTATGGTCCTGGTGGCTTTCCAAGGCAGCTGATGGCCTAGCTAAGTATAGCTTTAAAATCCTTTTTTAACACGGTTGTCAGGCAGCTGAAATTAAGTATTTCTCAGAGTGTCTGGTCCCAAAATTTATTTTTCTGTCACGAGATCATACTTTTCTTGTAGTAGTTCAGTTTTTAATGCCAACTGTCTGCCAAACTTTCTCTGAACAAAAGCCTTGAAGTCATTCAATGTGGTATGTAAAGCTTTAGTGCTTTACTGAGCATTAATCAAGATCAGTGATATTGTGTAATTTAGTGGAACTAAAGCTTTTCTTGAGCCTTTATCTGAGGGTAAAAGGCACTCAGAAGTCTCCTGCATTGATGATGGATAGAAGTGAGAAACAAATATCCCAAAGCCTAGAGCTCAGCTCAGGATCTCAGCAAACTTAGGCTGCAGCCAGCACGAGCGAGGAGCAGGCTGGGATGCTCCCCTTGGTCACCTGAAGGTCTGCGCATTCAAGGGCATCAATGGATAGCTTTAACAGAGCAGCTCAACTGGAAATGACTTCTTCATTTTCACGTTTCCTTTAAGGTTTTTTTGCTATTTTTAGAAGGCGTCCAGTGCTTGCCAGCTGCCTTTGACTCCACAAGAGAAGCTGAATGAACACTATTTTCCACTCCCATTGTCTCTCCTTGCTAAATACTATTGCTGTCCTCATACTTTTATGACCATGGAGTCAGTACTCTACACACACCACCACTCATGGCCCTACTATTATACTTTTGGCAGGAACATGTTAGATTTTTATGGGAATTAAAAAGCAAAAGTGAGAGAGAGAACCTGAACCAAAGACAACATAAAGGGCCTTATTTTTTTGGGTAGAAGCCCAACAAAATGATTAAATAGCTCAAAGTGGAACAGAAAACTCTCTCCAAGATGCTAAGCTGAGAGACACCACACTCCAGCAGTTACGTGGTGCCCTGTGGAGAAAGGAAAATATTCCAAGAGGAGATTGCTGTAAGAGGGGGACGGCTGCTGCCGAGCAGTTGACACCGCCGGTCGCACTAGGACAGTAAGTTGGAGCCCAAATTGGAGAGTGTTTGTCCAAGACCAGCTGTGTTCATGGCTCTCCTCTTTCCTCCCACCCCTGCGTAACACGCTTATCCACTTCACTCCCGTAGCCTTCCCGTGCTGTGTTGCCTAAGAGAAAACCACCGCTGAGAATGAATGGCATCATCACTGGGAGCTGGACCCAGGGCATCTGCTCTGGGGTGGCCCCAGCTCCACCTGCAGGCGCAGGGAGCAGAGGGTCCTGCCAGCAGCCTGGTGCCACTCGGCTCTTCCTCCTGGGCTGTGGAAGGAGAAGTCAGAACCCTGAAAGATCAGAAATAGCTTTCTGAATAAAAAAAGGACCTAAAAAAAGAGTTAAACCCAAATGTTAATTTTAACTAGGTCCTACTGAACTTTGGTGGCTGGAGCATTGCAGTGTGCGTGCTCCTTGCAGCAGCGAGGAGAGATGAGCCCGGCGTGGGACCGGAATAGCTGTGAAATTCTGAGAAGTATGGGTTTGGTTCCAAACTTTATCAATGACTGCTGCTGCTGCAGCGGCCAAACCAGTGGCTTTGATGTGAAATCCCAAACTCTGCAAGCATCTGAGTCTGAACATCGAGGGCCGGTTACGTTGCCAATAACAGGCGAACTCTGTGTGAGCTCCGAAATAGCAGTGCACGCTGGGGGCCATGGAAAAGGAGTGAGGTTCTTTTCCCTTCCTGTTTTAAAATCAACACAGACTTCACTCGATAGTACTGTTCTCCCCTTTGCTTGCATTACAAAGGCGGTGTTGATGAGAGTTTGGCAACTTGGGGTATTGCTAATGGCCCAAAAGCTTTTTGCATGTCTGGATTGCCAGGTTGCACTCAGACTGGGCTGTTTGTGGCTTCAAGGGAATTTTCATGGTTCTCTTGTGGCTCCTGCAACACAAATTTAGTGGCCAGATAAGACTGACTTCCCATCAGTACCACGAGCACCCCAGGTTTTTGGTAGCAGTCTCAGCAGAGGAGCCAAGCAGGGAGGAGCCATGCTGGGTCCTGTGGGGCTCCCGGCAGAGCTGGGCACGCTCTGGGCACGTCCCTCTTCCCGGGGGACCATCCCTGCAGTGGTCCCTGCTCCCCAAGGGAACTAACGCCATGCCTTTTCTGGCCACCCCTCTGCATGCACGCAGTAGCTGGAGACCACAAGGATGGCAAGTTTGTTGCCTCTCAGCTGGGAGATGAGCATCTTCCACTACCACCCACAAACCTCCATCCACCGGTCAAACTCGTTAGTAGCTTAATGAGCCATCTCATCAGAGGCTACAAAGGCTACCTATACCAAGAGCAGTGAGGAACTGTGGGGAGACGGAGTCCCTTATCCTGTTGCTAAAACTTCTCTGCCTGTTTTTCTTTCCTGTCCATCTCTCCAACACTTCCTTTCCACTCCTTTTCCTTTAGACTCCTCCTGACTTGCTTGAATAGATCTGTTTTCCTGAGATCAGTTGCAGCAATTTTGCACATTCGTGAAAGCACATTGCACGAGAGGCT